TGGCCAAAGTACAACAATAACAATTCGTATTTCTTTACTTTTTTACTGAATATTTACGCAAATGTTGGTGATCAAAGCCAATGTCTTTTCTGACCAATAGTTTTCGGTTGGATATATATAAAACTAATGTCATTAGGACGGAAAGCTGTCAAAAGTCGTTACTTTCCCCAACTTGTGTTATACGAGGACTACGAAAGAAACATGTCAACATCATTTTTGACGGGTCACAAATGGTCCGGCGATAATTTCCGGGTCGAGATATCCACACCCACTAAAATCAAGATTCCTCTCGAAACAGACTCTAAAAATCCAGATTCTATTTTTTTTTTTTCGATTACTTACAATCATATAGTAGTACTATCTACGTTTAAGTGGTAAGTGGGTAACCAATAAACACCTCACAAAGTCAAAGCCAAAAGAATTACACAAGAATTACACTTGCACTAAATCTAAACTTTGGGCTAACTTTTGTTGTCACTGCATTAACTACGAGACCCCTTAAATAGACACAATGATGCAACTGCTCTCTCATCATAATGTCCATTCAGGGTTTACGACAAAACAACTACTAGTAACCTGGGCTCACTTGCCAGTGTGTCAGAGAGTTCCATGACAAGTCAACTCAGACCATAACACTCTGGTTTAAAAACCTTCAGTTTCTTCACAACACATACACAAACACATATCTTAAAATTTATCCAACCATAAGACATTTCCTTAAATCCGCACTAAATCCAGAACCTATGGACCACTTCCCACCTTTCCTAGTGGCTCTATTTTTCTTTTTCTTTTATGATATATATAAACCCAATAATATTATGTGGCTATGAACAAGACTGGTATTCTAATGTAGATAGAGAAAATAAACAAAAGAACATCTTTCACGCAGACCATAAGCTATTATAAAAATAAGACTAGACACAGAGAGTGAAAGGTTGCTCATGTTTTGGTGGTGTGCTACGCTCAAATTACACAATCCACTCGTTTCTCAACAAGAAAGATTCAGTTCTTGAAATCCTCAGATGTACAAAAAGATAGTGAAAAAGGAGGAATAAACAAAATATCAATTTTGGTAGTAGCTCCCTTTTAGGTCAGACAACAGTTAAGGTCTTGGATCTTTACCTATGTACAAGCACAGGAATAGAGCTGAAACAAAATGTTTAGATCCAGTATCCACCGTAAGTGTTCACTGAGAACTAATCGTGGAACCCAAAATTATCTTTCCACACTGCCCAACTGTTAATCTGAGAGGCTCATTAGTAGTTGGGGTTGCTCTGCAACACAACCGTCGCGGCGCCTGTAAGAGCAGCAGTAGAAAAGGGTGGAAGAATCATCAATTGCAAATTATAAAGGAAGGAGAAAAAACATTCGGTGATCAAAGGATAAACTCACCAAGTGCCAATTTTTGTTTAGCGGAAAGCCTAGGACTTGGATCTTTTCCACCTTATGCAGAGGAGGAGAGCGTGGAAAACATAGAAGCTTCCTCTTCAGATCATCCTTAACCGCGGATCTCGAGTACGTTCCGAGTGTAGCATTTCCTTCTTGTCCTATCTCTTTCAAGAAAAAGAGGATAGGCTTCTTACAGAGAGATGAAATCGGAAGCTTGATGTCAAGATCAAACTCACGCGGTTGACTTATGCCGTTCCAAGCAGAGAAGGAAAGTTCGGCTCGCTCAAGATCACGTGGTAAGACAATATTCGGGAAAACTTGTACAACATAACCAAGAGATATCGAAAATGTTAGCCGGTGAGTATGATCGTAGCAGATCGATCGCTGCAAAACACTTCTTGGGTCCAAATCCATGGCTTCTGTGAAGAGTTTCAAACTATCTAGTGTCGATAAGCCCGGATAGAGAGAATTAACAGCTTCAACGTGATGAATAGAGACAAAAGGTGCAATAGGATGAGAGGACAAAAGACCATGAGCGTCTCCTTTAATATCCCACTGCCACAAAAACCATGAAACATACCATTGATCAGATTCAAAATATCCGAAAGATCATGAAGGGACAAGCATTCAAGAAGTGTGTACCTGGTGAAATCCAGGTTCTTTGGACAAAGGAACTCCGAGTTCCGTGATGCAAGCGTGGAGTCGATCATCACTACCGTAAAGCTTTGGGTATCTATCGAGGCAATCGTCGTGGATACGAGAGATAGCTTCCGCTAGAGGGTAACTAATGGCGATACCACCGCCTCCAAATGCCATGTTATGACTGAAGTATGAGTTAGCAGAGTGGCTCTCCGACGGACTTCCTACATACACCATCTCAGTAGGATCGTACTTGCTCAATACAGCAAGAAGATTAGGTACATTGAAGATCGTATCGTCATCTCCGAGAACAAACCACCTAACATCAGGAAGAGAGAGTCGAAAAGACTCCATGGCAATACGAGAGATGCGAAGTCCAGAAGGATGACCAGTAGGATTTGTGTAACGAAAACGAGAAGAATCCTCAGAGACAATAATTGGAGGAAGAGAATCATCACCTTCCTTAGGAGAAACCTGTTCTTCAAGCCAGACATGACCACGCATCTGAGAAGGTCTCCACCATAACCTCACAAGTTCCTTACGTCTTTCCCAAAGCTGTGAAGATCCAGCGATACCAAACATCAAGTGATTCAGAGACAACAGATCAAGTCTATCACTCTCCCATATACTACGATTTCTAGGTTGATCGGAGAAAGGGAGAGATGGAAGAGACGGCGGAGGGATTTTAGTAGGGAGATAAGGATGATGATACCGTCGATTCCAGAGATGTGCGTCTTCCCAGTCCTTAAGGAGATGCCAGCAACGGGAAGTGGTTGGTGAGAAGACGAGAGAGAGCCAAGCGACGGAGGCGAGAAGAAGAGCGGAGGTAGCGACTAATGCGGTTGCGAAACGGCTGAGACGGCAACGACGGATGCGAGGACGAGAGGAGACGGGAGATGAACAAGGACGGTGAGGAGAAGAATAAAGGTGAGGGATGAAAGAGAGCATGACGGTGAGGATTAAACGCATCGCCCCAACCGCACATTTCCGCCGCCGGGCGACGCAGAACGGCGGCGAAACAAGATTCCGGTTAGGTTTTTTGGTTTAAATTAGGGCACAGGGTGGTTTCGATCGACAC